TCTCGTAGGCTGCCTGGTGGACGCTGCTGTGGGTAGGTGGCTTCAGCCTACTGGTGAAGGGTGCCTGACATTTTGGCTTTGGTAGCAGAAGTAAAGACTTTGAAGAATGGAGGTGACAAACCATGGCGCAGCATCTTTGGCTCCTGAAAGGTATCACTGACAGCAGTATGACAGCGAAACGCACAGCTTGCTTTCCTCCAGAGTTAGTAATGCAGGGTAGAAACTGCCGTATGCTGGCCATGTATTATTACAGGAGGTGGTTACCTTTTGTTGTGGTTGCAGAAAACACTAGATGTGTAGTGGACTGGGAAGCACGTTGGTGTACCTGGTAGCCTCCTTTTTGCAAATCGCAGTGGGAAGGTAGCTTTTGGATTCTGTCTGTGCTCTAGGATCTCTGGGGACACATTAAAATAAAGCTATATTGAGAGTACTTAGTTTGAGAGATGCCTAGTTAGAATACCTAAGTGAGCAAATGGTAATCGATGAAGAAAGAGGAACAGGATGATGGCAGGGTTCTGGGGAAAGAGAGAATTGGTAGAGCAACAGGAATGGATACCTCGTCCTCTCTGACGAGTGTTTCTTATGTCTGTAAGGAGGTGAGATGGAGGGTTGATTCCACAGGGTGTTAAATACATGGCAGAAGAGATATTATGGTATTATGATGGTGTGACAGTCTTTGCATCCTCAGAGGCAAAATGGTGATGTCTCCTGGTTGCTCAGCAGTTCTTAGTAGACACCTTGTGCTGCCCTTCTCTGATCAGATCCTCTTGTGCAATTCTGGAATTGACTTGCAGAAACTCTGAAAAACAAGCTCAAACCACCTGAATTGTGTTTCACAAAAACTCGCTCATTACAGCTCTCTCCAGAGGTCTCACTCTGTTATTTGGAGTTAGCTGAAAATGTAATATTAGGGAATTTTTACTCTAATTGTGTATTTTTGCAGTCTTGTTAGACATGTACAGATCTGCTCCTTCTTCTGTACAGAAAAGTATGTTTCTTTGTGTTCAGTAGTAGCTAAGTAATGTGTCTTGGGTTGGAAGTTAAGATACTCAGCACTCAGTGTTGGCTGGGGAAACAGATAAAATTACAGACTTCAGAGCTAAAAGGTAGCTGTGTGTCTGTGCGGGGCCGGTACAGGTATGCTGCAGAGAATTAAACAGGGGCATCTTGGCTGGATGTAAGTTGGAGGCGAAGTTCCTCACTGCTCGTTTGCAGTACCTCGTTGGCGATGGAGACCCGTTTGTTTGAAGGAACATGTCTGGAAAGCGATGCTTGAATGGCGGGTTCTAACATGCGGCGGTCTGGAGCAGTGGACCCAGCAAGGAAGAGGGGTGAGCGGTTGGGGCTGGAATGTGTCTGCCTTCTGCTGTCTCGTGATTTCTGATGTCTTGGCTGAAGTCTTTGGCTATGACCATGGTTTGTGCGGCGACTGGCACTTTCCCTGTGGAATACTGCTCCTGTTAGGATTAGCTAAAGTGCTTGCTAGAGCCAATTCTAAACGGTAAGTTTAGGATTTGCTGATGCAGACGTTGGAATTCTCCCCGTCATGTCCCAGCACCTTTCACAACATGCCATAGGATGTGCCTGCTCAGTTTTTTGTTTTTTGGTGGTTTTTGGGAAGAAGGCTATTTTCAGTGTGTGTGTGCTTAGAAGGAAATAAAATTTAAGCCTGTCTGAGAAGACTGAGGTATACCTGATTATGGGGAGGTCCAGTGCGTTCTCCTCTGGCCTCTGACATGGACGTGACCCTATCAGCCCAGCTCCGGGCGGCAGTCACGGCCACGGTGCGGCAGCCCAGTTCCTGGAGGGTGGCTCTGCATGCTCAGGATCGCTGCTGCAGCGCTGGGCATTCCTCCCCCAGGCCTGGGAGAGCTGCAGTCGGGCTCCTTCGCCGCTGGTTAGAGCTGACCCTGCTCAACTTTCTAAAAGTAGCCAAGGGTCCCACCCACACAACCCTGCTCTTTTAATTTCTCAAATTACCCTTTGGTGCCCACAAGCAGAGTGAACGCTGCCTTGTAATTTGTGTTGTCCTTTTGACAATGGAGGGAGACTCCTCTTCCCAAAGGGGCCTGTGCCTGGGGGAAGGGAGACGGGTAGAACAGATGGAGGGAGGCTGTTTGGGCATTAATTAGGATTAGAAAGAGTATATGAGGGAATAAGGGGTGAAGAAATGGGCATCAGGTTTGTTCATAGAGCCCAGAGCTGTGTTAGGCTGGCAGCTGCCTGTAAAGAAGCACTGTATTAACTATCAGAGTTTTGTTCCCGAGGGGCTCCGCAGTCACAGACTGCTTCCCCCTTGCATCCCCTGTAGCCTACGCGACACTCTTCTGTTTGTTTTCAGGCTTTGTGTGTTAAAACATTTCTCTGATTTTTAAAGAGTTTGAATTGTTCCAGAGCCAATAGGTGTAACTGCTGCTTGTGTGTTTGACTCCAGTCGTGGTTTGTGTGCACGTACTGACACAGCTGCTGCTCTCGGCCCAAGGGCAAGCAGCAGCCTCTAACGTTTTCTGAATTGTGCGGGGTACGCAGTGTCGTTCTCGCTTCAGAGGCAGCAAAAGCTGTTTGTCTGATAGGTTGGGGGGTGCTTTGGTTTGGGGTGGTTTTTTCTTTTAATAACTGCAACCTCTGGTATAGGCAAGGACACAATTGTGCTGAAATTTGCCATCATGAGGGAGGCAGGGGGAGCAGAGGGCCAGGCTGCCTGTGCCCTGTGTGCAGGTGAGGGGTATCTTGGCTGTTTGAGGTCTGAGTGCTGCTCGAATGGCCCATCCTCAGCGCCTGGGGTGTGGGGAAAGTTGCCAATAAATGTATTAAGTACCTTTGTGGCAGCTGATGCATACAGCAAACTGCTCCCCTCACCTCTGTCTGCTTTGCCTGCAACAAAGGCTGATTTCGGTGCTAAATACTTTGCAAAAGCAAAACACAAGGGTTTCACTGTCTTAAGGGAGCTTTCTGCACACCAGAAGCCAGGTTAAAAATTCGAAAGCTGTAGAACGAAACCTCGCAGTGGCTCAGTTCAGAGAACTCAACAGGTCAAAAACTACCTTACCAAAACGAAGGAATGCTCTCTAGAGTAAGAAGAAATGGAGTGAGCCGCGTTTGGGAACTCGTGCTGTTGGTTCTGTGGCAAGAGAATGTGAAGCAAAGAGAACGGAAGATACAATTGAGGCAGGAGTGCGTGGCAGATGGAAAACTTAAAAGGGTGGTTTGTTGGCTGTAGTATGATGAATAGCACCTGTGTTGTGTGCTGCCTGCAGAACGGTAAGGAAGTGATTACACGGAGAGGTTTGGAGTAGAGCAGAGAGGTAGGTTATGGTTTTGGGATAGGAGCAACTTCTGAGTACTTGTAACAAGCTTATAACTGGCTAGCAGTATGGTTCAGCTGCAAAACATGGTTGTATTGTAAGTGAAGAGATTCCACAGACACTCCCTGGAAAGGAGTCATCTCTCCTTACATTAGATGACCACTGAGGTTGTCACTCTGGACTTCCTATACTGACTGTGGAGAGCAGCCAACTGCCAGGGTGTGACTCCTCTGAAAATACAGGTTCCTACTGCTTGGGAGGAATTGCACCCCAAGCTCTATCAGCTATAGAGAATGATAACAATGACCACCTGTCTTGTTAGTCTGATCTCAGTGACATGAATTCCACACTAGTGATTGTGTTTCAGTTCACAAATATTGTCCTTTTACTTTTTCAGGAACTTTACAGCATAAGCAGAGCAATGCATTTGACTAATTGAAGCTCATTTTTGTTCTGTAGCTCGTAGAACGAGAGCCACTTGTATGTCACCTAGACCTACTAGAACCACTTTCTGCTGGGCCAGAAGAGCTTCCTGATGAATTTTTTGAAGTCACAGTGGATGATGTACGGAAACGTTTGGCACAGCTGCAGAGTGAGAGGCAAGTTCTCTTTTTGCTGGCGACTGAGATTGCTCTATATTGTTTTGTTGAGCAGAGTGACACTATGCACCTGTAGCTGGCTGTGATCTCTGGGTAAAAGGTTGTAGATAAGTTTCTGGGTGTGGAATTAATGAAGTAGTCATCAGCACTGGATATCTCTACTGTTTATGCCATTTGAGTTCAAGGGCTGTGTTCTGTTTCTGTGACAGAACCTATGTTTTTGTGTGAGTCGGTTGAACATTTGTGCATGAGATAATGGTTTCACCTGGATGTTGGACATTTCAGCATGAGGTGTCTGTGATGCCTGTCTGGTGATAAGTTTATCTGAGGACCTTAAGCTAATCAGGGATGGGCCCTCATGGAGAAAGGATTAAGAGAAAGATTCCTTCCTGTGTTCTGCATTTCAGGGAGTTATTCAAAGCCACTTAACACCCCACCTCTTTTTCTTTCTTTCCTTCTTCCTTTTTCTGAAAGAGAAGCCAAGGCCTTTGTAACCACATGTGCTCTTATTTGCTAGAGGCCCAAAGCAGTGGTGAGCTCCTGCTATCTGACTTCATGTTAACTATCAGGAATTAAATGGATGGAATTTGTAACTTGCGGTGGACAAATATAACACAATGATCCAGCTTCCTAAGAGTAGCTCCTATTGACTTCAGTAGTAGTTAGTAGCATTTTCAGCCAGTAAGAAACACCTGTTCTTTAAGTAACAGAATTAACCTTGTATTAGATCTTGTCAGAAAAGACCAACTTTGAGACATTACCCAAATGGAAATAAAGCAAAATCAAACTTAGCCACAAATCAAGATGTGAAAATGTTTGGAACACATGCAAAGAAGGGAGAATAAGTATAGGAAACTGGACTAACTATGCATCTCACTGTTCAAGTAACTTGCTGTCAAATATTCATGATTTTACTGTGCTCTTATTCCAGTTCTGAACTAAAACCCCTATCACAACAGCATTTTGCTGTCTATGTGTTCCTTAAAGAAATTAATTTCATGGATGTATTTAGTTTCAAGTGAATTATAACATTCCTTTAAACATTACAAGCAGTCTCTGAGACTGTGGGACAGCCTACTTTACACTGTAAGCAAGTCCAAGTTGAACTTTTTTACTCAGAGCTGAGTTTTTTTCCCCACAGGCCACTGAAGTCCGCATGAATGCATAGATTGGCCTGAAAATTGCTCTGCCGCTTGTGGGTCTCAAGTGTTTAGTGGTACAAATGTGGGATCGTTTGGTTGGGGGTTACTGGAATACAGCCTCCTCAAAAAAAGACCCAATTTTCAAATTTGCTGATGCTTGTAATCCCTTTTTCCCTCACAGCCAGGGATAAAAATAAAGACAAGTTACACACGAAGCTGATACCAGTTGACTTCTGATCTCAGCTGGTGAATCTTAAAAAGAAAAGATCTAACTGCATACAATGCAATATTTTAAATGCAATCAGTATTAAATTCTGACTTCATAAAGAGCTGAGAATTGATATGAATCAGCAATTGGTACACGAAGAAACGGAGTGGGTTAGGTTCATCTTTGCTTTTCAGATTCAGAGCAGCTTGGAGTGTGGTGTGCCAGCTGACAGCTCTGGGTACAGTTGGTGAAGTAAGCCTGTAGTTGTTCTGTTCAGCAGCTGCTCCAGAGATACTTTGATCATTCTTAAAAATAAAAAAAGATCCTTCAAGCTGTGAAGGTATAAGAGATTAACTTGCAATTAATTGCGCGGAATTACATGATCAAATGTTTCACCAAAATCTAGCCTAGTAAATTGGTTATTCAGAATTAAGTGCAAACAAGGAAAAGGGACTAAAGCTGAACATAGGATCTGTTGGATCTGAGCTTATTTCTTTACTTACAGGAAAATATGGGCTTTTTTCCCTCTTGCTAATCAAAACGCATTAATTTCTTCAGCCAGCATTGTTTTTCAGCTTCGGTAGCTCTTCTCCCTCTCTGGAGTAATCACATCCAACTTTAGTCTCTGTTTTATTGGATTAGTGAGTTCATCTCTTATTGAGTAGTCTAAGCAAACATTCCCCTGCTCTTCTTAGTACCTTTTCTGGCATCTGTTGTAGTGAACTTATTTTTAAACTTGTACAAGATAGTGATTTTATAGAGTGTTGTTGCTGATGCTCAGTAGTTCCACATATGACATTTTAGGGTAGGAACCAAGGGGATGGGGAAAATGCCATGAGGGATACATGGAACAGTCAAGCTGTTCTCATCAGATCTGCTTGTACCTTTCGCTTTCTTAATAAAATAAAATACATCTTAAAATTACAGAAGTGACAGCTTGTCTTCTTCCCATGTATCTAGGAAACGCCTGGAAGAAGCTCCGCTGATGACAAAATCTTTGAGAGAGGCTCAGCTGAAGGAAAAGTTAGAGCGTTATCCAAAGGTAGCCTTTGTTCTTTTTCCAATCCCTCTGGCTAGTCCAGACTTGGGGAGGTTGAGTAATTTTGGTAATCAATTGTGATCAACAGCATCTTGAGCTACTTACAGGAAGACACTTCAAGTTCCTGTCCCTGTTAGTTGTTTGTGGGACTTGTATAACAGTTGTACCGTGTAAAATCAGTTGTCCTGTAATGATATGGTTGAGTGGCAGGCAATATAGCTCCTTTTATTTTGTTCCAGATGTTTCAAAACCCTTATGTTGCACACACATCAGTCTGTGTGACTGAGCTTTCCTATCTGCCTCTCCTCTGCAGACTCTTGCATTTTGTTAAAATATATCTGTTAAAAAAAGTTGCTCACAAATTCTACGCCAAAGAAGGTGTTACAGAACAGCCATAAACAATTGACCTCATGTGGTTTGCCTCTGACTTAGGTGGCGTTGAGAGTCCATTTTCCAGACCGTCATGTTCTACAGGGATTCTTCCGTCCTAGTGAAACTGGTAAGAGCAATCTGGACTTCAGCCTATGTAGCTGTAGCTGATCTCTCTCATCATTGATTAGTTGCATGACAAAAGAGCGTGTGGCTCTGGACAGATTTTTGTGCTGTCTGGGGAAGTAGTACTGCTCTGAAGGAGCAGCAGTAGCTCGGTACGCTGTCCTTGCAGGGCCCCCGAACGGGATGAGAAAAGAGCCTGGGGTAGTGAACTAAGTTAAGGGGAGTTTATTTCCAGGACTGCTTGGTGGAGACTGTCAGGCTACTTGATGGTAAAACGTTTGTGCTTAGGAAACTGCATCACTTGATATCCTGTTGTTTGTGTCCAAATGGTGTGCTGCGGAGATAAGTTTGGACACTTCCTCTGTATTAATGCTTAAAAAGTTTTGGGGAAAAAATAGCACCACCACTCCCTCCCCCAATCTGAAACAAAATAAAAAACCCACAAAAAACCAGAAGAAGAAAAAGAAGCTTTAGCTACTGTAATAAGAATAAAAGGGATGAACCTTTCTGCCTCCGTTGTTTCACGAAAGGCGGTCAGACCATACACCAAGTAGCTCTTACTGTTAACGGAGATCCTCTTGTTCTCAGCTGGCAGTGTCGGTTACCCACACAATTTATTTTTTTTTTTATACTTTTGTATAGAACAAGAACTAATAACTAGTTACCAGAGTCTCACCTGGCTGGTCTCTGCAAATCTTGCAGCTGCTATTGGATTTCCTAGGAAGAACTTCACTGGCATCCTTAGATTTTTGCTAAGGGACCTGCATGTCTAAGTTTTTGGGTGTGGTGTTTTTGGGGGGTTGTTTTGTTAGTTGTTTTTTTCCTCCAAGGTATTTGTGATAGTAAGTGTTCTTTTGAGGAAAAGGCAATCTACAGACATTGTAGAGGGCAGTTCCGCTGTTACAGGTTAGCATTTTTGCCCAGCATCTGAAGAAACAAATGTAATTCAGCAAACCTTTCTCTCCTTTTTTCACAGTTGGCATTTTGAGAGACTTTGTAAGAAGCCACCTTGCAGATGCAGACTTACCATTTTACTTGTGTGAGTATGCTGTTGGTAACTTTTGGCCGTACTTTACAAAGCCTGTTCCTAGCTGTGGTGCGTATGGGATCTTGTGATGCCATGAGGTATGACCTGGGGAGAAATTCCTTCCCTAAATACACCCTCAGAGTGCAAAGGAGGTGTAACCTGCTCACTCAGCCACATTATGCTTCTGCCTAATGAGAAGCCTACGTGGGCAGTGTGAATGTGTCGCTCCTTTAAAGAGCAGTAGTCCCTTCTATACCTGCTGTGTTTATTGTTTTGGCTGCTGGGTGGTCCTGTTTTGTAACTTGTTTTTTAACTTCAGTTATTGCACCTCCCAGAATCATCTTGAACGATGAAAGTTTGACACTCTTTGAGGTAAGGACTCACATGTGTGCTCTGTGATGCTCTCTGACTTCCAGCTCCCCTGCACCCTGCCATATGCTTTAGTTACTTTTCAAAGAAGCTGCATAATGTTGTGATCCCTGTAGGCTTCTGCTTAGCCAAGACTTACAGAACCAGGTGTTTTGGAGCATGAGCTCTCCACCAGAAGAGGTCCACCTTGTGCAACAATATGCACTGGCACATTGTGGCGTGGTCGGGGGGTGGGGGGAGGTTCGCATTGTTCCGTGCATATGCTCAGTGCCTTATGGAGTCTGAACTGTATTTAACCTTGGAACATTATTACAAGAGCTGAGCTAATGTGAGTTTGCTATATCTGTAGTTGGAGTAGCCTAGTAGGAGACGTGACACTGGGTTTGGATAGGTAACTGTTGTCGCTTTCTACAGCAGGAGCTAGAGGCCATATTAGACAAAACTGATCTTTTTGATAATTGCTGTGTGAGAATTCTTTTTAAGCCATCATGGACATTGAGGAATATGTACTTTCTATGTGTGACTTTTCCCAAGGGCTGAAATTTAGTTTTTCAAATCCAGATTCCTGGAGGTGTTTTGCAAATGTCAGATGAGGTGGTCTTGAAGTCTCTGGCCAGGGTCTCTTGCCTGTGTAAATCACACGCATGTTAAGAGGCTGATTGAGTGATTTTGTCAGTGATTTTGCCCCAAACTCACCCTGTTTGAAATGTGCTGTCATTCAGAATTTCATGGACATTTGTAGAGTGATGCGCTGAAGATCACTGCAGGATAAAGGGTAGAGCAGATTGCAGTGAAAGGTTTTGCCTGATGCTCCCCAGGGAGCAGGAGAGGTGGGCAGGGAGAGGGATAGAGAAAGGGACTTTTCAGGCGCATGGTGAATGAGGGAGGGATTAGCAAGCCTCTGAAGCTGTTTGTAGTAGAGCTTTCCAAATTCCACAACTTCCTGACCAGGCCATGTGGAAGAGATATGTGTGCAGCTGCTTTTAGACTGTCCAAGGAAGCAAAGTGTGTATCTCTGTGTTCACAGTGGGAAGTCTCTCCCCTTCCTAATACTCTGTTAAGAATTCTTTGCTGAAATTTCAAGTTTTGGGAGTGGTTTTGTTGATGTTGGAGTCCCTTGCATTGTCACCATGCCTGTGACAGGTTCAGCTGAGACAGGAAGTCTGGGAACACATCTCAGCCTTTGAACTTGTGTCTCTACAAAACATACTGCACTCTTTTCAGTGTCTCTGTAGGAAGTCATAGTCTCTCTGCCCTGTGTGCCACGTTTACCTCTAGAATCTCATGGACTTCAAGTTCTGGCACTATTTATTTGATCTTTAAGATGGACTTTTTTCATTTTGTTAAGTACATCCTAGATGCTGAAGACTCAAAATCTGCCTCTGTAGTAATCTTTTTTCCTACTCTGTTCATTTTCCTGGGATGTTTTGTTGCCGTTCAAAGTACTTACCTTTCTGACACTGCTTTATTCCATTGTTTTCCGTCACTGTTGGAAAATACCCTGTCTGCTCACGTGCCTGTCCTTATCACCTTGAAATCTCCCGTGACCATTCTCTTCCTCTTTTTTAGGTACCTTCTAAATCCTTTGCATACCTACTCATTCCACAAAGGAAAGGAAGTTTCTCTGCCTTTTCCGTAAACTTGAATGCAGCACCCTCTTTGCCTGGCCTGTGTCTGCCTCCTCTTCATCCAATCTCTGATTCTGTCTGTGGTCTCCGCTGTTGGCTTTGGTCTATCTTCTGAATAAAGTTCAAAATCCTCTGCTTACCTGTATTTACTGCCTGCCTGTCGTGTCCCCCCTCCCCATTCTTTTATCTTCTGTTTTTCAGCATACAACTAACGTTTCTCTGGATGTCTTCTGAAATGTAACGTGTTCAGGGAAACACCCCAGAAATAATTGCATCTACTTGTCTTTGAATGAGAAGCTTTATGGCAGGGATTTGGTTTAATTTGCTGTGTTAAAGCCTTCGTTCTGTACCTGGCACTGTTACTTGTGCTTGTTCCATGTGTGGCAATTTCCCTCCTAGTTGTGACATTTACTGTGGAATTCATCCCTCACGGCAGCTCCCTGTAATGTATAAAAATGTGTTAAATTAGTGCTCTTTAGAGACTTAGAGGTGCCTTACAACCCCGTCTTTTAGACTCTTTTAGAAGTCACAACTTGATGAAGAACCTGCTTGATTTTAATGTCAGGCATCTTCAATTTGTAGTGACTTTCCCGAGATTGAAGTGCTTGCTGTGTCACATGGCAAAGGTGCAAAAGCCTTGATGTCAGTGCAAAACTGTGACTGTTCAAGATATGGTGCCCAAAAGTTGAAAATTCTCCTGCAAATGGACTGTTTTAAGGAATGGTTTTTCTCGTTTCTCACTTCCTCTGTATCAGCACAAAAGAATAACATCCAATTAAGATAAAGGATGACAAATCCAAAGTTGATTTAAGAATTCTTTTTTTTATGCAATGTAATTAAACTAATTAGAAAGCGGTTGTGTTGAGAATTTGGGCCTAATTAAAGAAAAATGGATTTTTTAAAGCCTAATCTAAGTATACAGAATCTTCACAATTATTTGCAAAATGTGAAAAGCAAGTCTCATAACAAGCAAATCCAAGTGGTTGGTCATATCTTGCAATGGGTGGTAGTGATGGGCTGAAGAAAGTAACCTCTTTGAGGGTATGGTTTTAGCTGGAAGGGGGCGTGTGTCTGCAGCCTTGTGCAAGTCGAGGTTTTGCTCGCACATGTTGCTCATGCTCTGCGAGAGTTTTCTGGTGCAGTTATGCCAATGGGCCCAAGTAGACTTTTTCTACAAGAGACCTTGCTAAAGTTTATGGCAAATTTAAAGAACTCGCTTTCGAGTTGTGTATTTTGTCTCCTTCTGCAATTGAGTATATGAACTTTGCGAAGCTTAGACTCGTAGCTTGTCCCCATAACCCATCTGGTGCAGAAACCAGAAATCTGGTTGGAAATGTGTATGCAGCTATAGGTATTTAACTTTCTAGATTTTTTTACTATATGTATTCAGTTTGACACTTCAAAATGCGATTGTTTTCCAGAGTTTATCTCCAGAATTAGAAAGGCCCATCCAGTTCATCACAACTGACTTGCAAAAATGAGTTGATGGTGAAAGGACCAGGCCAGAGCGTTTCTGTAATCAAGTTTTTTTCTTTTTTTTTAAAATTGGGTTTTTTAAAATCAAATTATATTCATAGAGGCTTTAGCCTTGAGTGCAGGGCCCTAGGGCATTGGACATGAGTGCATGGTCGGAGCCGAATGCTTGAGGCCAGCAGCACTGCTCTAGCGAGGGGAGCTGAGCAGAGTTGAGCGGTGAGGCCAGACGTGTGCCATGGGGCTGGCAAGAAGCAGCAGGGGAATCGATCTGTTTGAGGGGTGAAGAAATCAGTGTAACTTCAGGGTGAGAAGGGAGAAGGCTCGAGGGGCTGAGGTGACTTGGGAGGGTAAAAGAGAGGGAGAGGAGCGCCTGGACGGGGTTGGGCTCCACTGCCTATTCAGAGCGTTGGGTTTTGTGGCAACAGCTTCTGCGCTGCCAGGACCGTGTGCTGGGCGAAGAGCACACGGCCACGCGCGTTAACGCCCTGGAGTTGTTTGAGGCGGCGGTGGCGTGGAGCGGCTCTGACGTGAAGCGGGTTCGCAGGTGGGCAGAGCTGTTTCCCGCCTGTGGCCGTGTCGCCTGCGTCCCGCGCCCGAGGCCTGGCAGCCCTGTCGGGCCGTGGACTGTGATGGCAGGAGTCGTTCTGTGTGTTTATAAACATTTTATTTGGATGAAGCATCAAACAGGAAAATGCGATTCCTGCCGAGAACTGTCATACTGTACTGGTCACCCGTACTGCTTGTCGGACACCGCGGTGCTCCGGCGTGCTAGCGTGGTGCTGTATCCCAGTTGAGGTGGGCAGGTTCTGGATGAAGCTTTGATCCCCGTTACTGGTGTAAAACCCCTTTTCGTCTTTAACTTTCGCCTTGAGTCAGTGAAGGCCTCATGCCATAATGTCCTCCGCTCGAATAGGCTTTCGCTTTTCCTGCTGCAGATCCGAGTGCTTGGCAGGGGCTGAAGGGGCCTTTCTTCTCCGGGAAGAAACGAGTGCGGAAGTTGCTCTGGCTTTCGTGTCCCGGCAACTGTGTTATTGTTGGACGTCCTTTTTGTAGGCAGCTGTTACTAACCGGGCTGCTTCCTGCACCGCAGTGCTCTCGGTAAGACCGGCACCGGCCCAGGCTGGGAGCAGGAGAGGCGGTGTCCGGTGTTGGGCCCATGGGGCAGTGCCGGACTCGCTTCTCTCGGGCACTGCCTTACAGACTGTGACATCTTCAGCCTGGCGGGAAGCGTGTGAGTCCGTCACCGCTGGCGGCAGAGCCCACTGCGGCGCCCTCCTGTGCGGGGTGGGGCCGGGCTGTGCGTTGGGCGAGGAGAAACCTTTGCCCCTTTCAGGCATCGTGTGGTCTGGGGGAGGGCAGGATTTTGTGCTTTAGTTGGAGCTCCCCTTCTGCTCCCGTTATCTGGAAGGAGAGATGAAAAAACAGAGCTGCTCTGTAAAGACAGAAGGCATGTGGTGAAACGTGTGGGTTTTGGGCTGGGGAAAGAGGAGCTTTTGTGCTAAGGTAACCTTGCAGTACTCAGCATCTCTGTAGTGTGAGAGCTTGTTCTGGAATAGTGCCGGGTGTTGGTACGTAGGATGCAAAGGGGAACGAAGGGCTGTGGGGTGTGTGGTTCTGGACGTGGTAGGGAAGAGGGGGCACGGGTAAAGTAATGGAGCAGCTAACTTGTCAAGCTTTATTGTGGGCTCTTTTTTTGGAGGATGCGTGAAAGGTTGAGGAGGAAGGTTGTCTTTATGGGTAGTACAGCTCTTTGGGGTCATCAGGCTGTATTGTGTACGTGCCAAAATTCACGACTTCCGCTCCAGGTGCTCTGTGTCACTAGTATTAGTGGTAGCCTGCTGGAGTGCTTTGCACCTGAGGTGGTTCCCAAAGATGCCTGCACATAGCCCGACACTTGAT